CAGTCTTGCTCACCTTGCGACACCCGTAAGTCCAACAACCAAAGTCCTCTTCAATCCGTTTAAGTAGCTTCCAATAGCTGCGCGGGGCCCGTCGCCGATACGGGTGAGGCACCCTTTTTTCCCCCCGCTTGCTTAATTTTCAAAATTAGTCAGTGAACCTTTCCAAGTGTATGAATTTTTATTCGCTCACCTACAAGTATATATGTTGTCGCTCACCTATAAGCGTGTGCACTTTTTCACACACCTGCAGGTGTGCGACATTCGTACACTTGGATTTCCCGTGTAGATGTGTAAGGTGGCCAAGTTCATACCATTATGTCAACCCATATATATTAAATGGTTATCCAAACTTTCTCATGAAGACCTCCGAATACACCCCCAAAAGTTGTTCTTACGATGGGTATCAGTATGCTCTCCCCAATCAAGATAATCAAGTGCACGAGAAATGCGCTAAAAAGAACAACACGCATTTTGTTGTCGCGCTTGTAAGTTACGCCGAGAGGACGTTTCCTTGCCTTCGGCGACACTTTGGGCCGCGGCGGTGTGGCGCTCCCGCTCATTAATTCCCTCATCCATTCATGCATTCATCGGCCGAGAGGACCGAGAGGACCGAGAGGACGGCGACCAGAGCGACCGCAATCAGGCGCCCGGTTCTGCATAATCAATTGCAAAAGTAAACAATAATTCGTTCTGTCCGAAGGCCGCGTCGTCGTCGTCGGAAGTCACCAATTACAAAAGCGGCGCGGCCGTTCGTTTGGCTGTGGTGGCCGCCGTCGTCATCCTCGTCGGCGACGTGCGGCGGCGGCGGCACTGGATCGAGTGAGAGCGCCCGGTCCCAATCAGTGCCCCCCTTCTCCCCCTTTCCCCCCTCCGCCGCCGCCCGGGAGCCGATACAAAAATTATATAAAAGTGTCGCCTGACGAACGAGCGGTCCCCCCGCGTCCTCCCCATAAGCGGCGCGGGGCAGAGGCAAAGCGCCATACCAGCAGCGGACTCCTGCTGTTTAGGCCCTTATAAAGTCAATTGCAAAACCGAAACAAAAATGGAGGAGGAGAGAGGGGGGAAACAGGCGATATTACACACTTTCTTCAAATGGGTTTCTCTTTCCCTCCCGCCTCCCCTCCTCTGCCGCTCCCGCGCAGCGCCACACGGGTGGGATGCAGCTCCCGAGCATATGGGCCGCATCAAGAGGGAGGGGAGGAGAGGGCAGGGGAGGGGTGTAGGGGGATGAAGGCAGGGGAGGGAGCGGGGAGAATCTTCACAGGCGTCTGCAGCAGCGGGGCGGGGAGATAGGTCAGGAGGAAATGAAGAGAGAGCATCAGAGAGAAAGAGAGAGAGGGGGGAGGGAGGAGAGGGAGAGAGACGGGGCGGGGCCAGGCCGGGCCAGCTCGGGCGCGGGTGGAGGAAGGCTGCAGAGCTTTCTCATCACTGCTCCGCAATTTTTCAAATATTAAAGAAAAGGGGGTAAGAGT